CAGTTGTGATGACAACAGACCTTGTGACGAAACAACTCTCTGGTTTGCTTTAGTTCAAGGGGGAAAGTAATGAACCACATCTTTTAATTTCAGTTTTACATGCAGATACTACATAGCAAATAATAACTATGATATTTATCACCTAGGTAGAACCTTTTCCCCCAAACCTCTTCAATTAAAGTATGCTAGATGTCTCAAAGAAGAAAGTAAAGTTGTAGTTCCCTGGGTTACAGCTGAGACAGTGAGTTGTCAAAAGGTCACAAAAAAATCAAAAAGTCATATAAATCTAGTTTTTGTAGTTATGTGTTTTATTTATTAGCTCATGTCCTATTTCTGCAAATAGACTTAGCAGTGGGAATCCAGTGGGAATCCTTACACACAATTTCATTGTCCTCAGATCACATCTCAGGGCATCCTTGAAGATAAATTGCTGATTTATCCATTCACATTGTCTACTTCTTGGAGTACTCTTGTACCACCAAAAGGTTACACCTCAAGGGTCCTAAGCTTTGCAGAGATCTTCACGACATCTGAGAGGTCATATGCTTGGCTATCCTCAGAGTACTCCTGCCTGAAGTGACTACAGCCTGCCAATACCACATGGCGCAGTCTGCACCTTCATGTCCTCTAACCTCCCCAGGCTTGCACAGTGCCTCTCTCCAAAAATGCTGCGGTAGAAGCACTGACACAACCTGGCACTGACATATCCTCCTACCTAATGCTCCTGCTTCTCAGTCAAGACCCGTCATTCATTTACTTGGGCCCATCATTTAGGGACACAGTACTCATGTCCCCTAATGGTTGACACTGATCAAGTAAACAAATACCAGAGACAAAGGAGAAAAACTTCAGTCCCAAACATGGAAAGTACAGCTTGGCAACATGCTATATGCATAATATATTTGCAAATTGCCTGGACCTGGTGAGTTTAAAGAGTTAACTGCTGAAACTTCTATCACAAACCGCCTATCTTTAAGAATTTGTCAGAAAGGTAATAGAAAATTGGAAGAAGGGTTGCTGTTCTTCATAACTTTAAAAAGGGTGAAAAAGAACGTGGAGACTAGGAATCGCAAACCTAGAAGCTTGACTTCAATTTCAGGAAAAGTACTCAAATAACTACGCATACACAAACACAAAGAAGAAAAACAAATTTTGACTTTAGTTTTTAAAATTGTTTTATCTGATATTCAAACATGAAACCTAGGAAGCATGGGCTAGATGAAAATACTATCTGAGTTGCAAAATGAGTTAGAAAACTACAGTCAAAAAGCAGTTATCAGTGTTTCACTGTCAAAATACAGGAATGTTCTGAGTAGAACTCTGTGAGAACCTGTCCTGTATCAACACCGTATCACGCCTCTAACTCGGCAATGCCCTCCTCAGCATCACCAGCAGGGACCACACCAGTCCTGATACAGCATCGCAATACCCCAGGCACCTGAGGGCTTTAGTACAAACACAGGTATGTCACTCCACCCTTGTCTGAGTGGGTCTCAGGAGCAACTCCAGAGAACATTGCAGACACTATGCTATTTGAGGTTACGGCAGCATAAGAATCCACATCTATTACACATTCACATCAAAGATCTCAGATTTGTAAACTTAAGATAACATGAAAAAATAAGAAAATACTGAAGTTTGGATACGGTTAATAAGTCTACCTTTTGCACAGAATATTTCTTGCTTATAAAATTTTCTCTAAATGTCTGAAGGAGAAATTCATAATGTGTTACAAATAAAAATTGAAACCATGACCCACTGACCCACCTCTTTTTCAGCATCTTCCAGTTTCTTTTTCTTGCTCTCAGGCATCAAATCATCTAACCAGCTGAGCTCCCGTTTAGTAAAAAAGAAATCCATGAGTTTTCGGACAAACACCAAAGCTAGGACCTGTAAAAACATATATTCAAATAGCCAGGAAATTAAGCAAATAACAAGGACAAATATGCTTGTATAGGAACACTTTCAAAAGTGACCACAGTTTACAGTTGGAATTGTATTCTTTAATTTGGGCAGGCAGATAGCTGGGCCTTTGTTGTTCAGATAAATCATGGTTTGGAGCATTTAAGAATCACTGAGGTTAGTACACAAGACATCTTTTATTTTCAATTCGTGAAATAATCAAAGAGAAATTATTTAAGCAGCAGAATAGATTTTTTCTTTTATTTCAACAAGGCACAGAACTATCAGTAAAGCTCTTCTGGTAATAAATAATCTTCCTTATTGAGTGAATGTTCCTTCTGTAAAATGACTAAACACTACTTCTTAAATAAAAACATCAAGTAATTAAAAAAAAAAAAAAAGGCGGGGAGGAATCACAAAGCATTTTCCCTAAGAGAATTTACAGTTGGGCTATCCACAGACATAAACTGAGCACAACCTGGACTCAAACTCCTGGATATATGTAGAATTTTTCTTCACTTGTACAATATGAAGAATTGCCCTTGAATCTTCAGTCCAAGAAATATTGTAATTACCTGTCCACAATTAATTTTTTTTTTAAATAATACAAGTGAGAAGAAAATGGATTTTTAGGGTAAATAAAAAAAATGTTTCATACCATCATAGGAAAGACAATGGCAGCTCTTGAAACCTTTATAATCCACAGGAGTACAAGACAACTCAGCTGAATTATAGTGAAGAGATGGACTTTTCTAAGAGGGACATGTCTCAAATAAATAAAATCTGGCTGATGCTTTGCAGGCATCCAGAATAGCTTTATCCTATCAAAAAGCTGAAAGAGAAATATACAAATTTTGCATTTTACCATCAAAACAAGCTATAGTACCATCTATGCTGATGTTCACATGTTGGCTTATTCTAAAGACAAAAGCTGTGTGTAGAAATTCAGGTGCACGGGAAGAGACTACCTCATTTACAATTGTGAGCCGTGAAGCTATACTAGCTCAATGGTGGTAGAAGACTCACTTTCTCTACAGTTGAGCCACCAAAGTTAAGAACAAGATCCTGTATTATTTAAGTAAAGTTTAACTATTCGGTTACTCATCAGTCTCAAATTCCTTTCACTTTTAATCCTTATTTGTCTCCCTAGATATTTCTATCATAGTTGTGCTCAGAGATCAGATTAATCATACTCCAAGACACATCCTGCTCATAACTGCAAACCATGTTGTACACAAAGAAAGTAAGTACTTTAAAATACTACAGCTAAGATTTCAAGTCAAGAATTCAAAAAGCCTGAATTCAAACTGAATGTGAATCTAATCAAAGTGAATGGAATCTAGTTGATCCCATTGGGCATACACATTATTGCACTGCCTTTCTAGCACAATCAAAAATTTTGTTCTCTACTGAGCTCTGCTTGCTTTAGTACGCACAAAGGTGATCTCTGGAGGATCTCTTCAGTCTTTATTTCCAGTGCATTAAGCCCCATCTTTTCCAGTTCACTTCACCAGATACTCTATCCTACCCTGCTCCCCTTTCTCCTATTGCACAACAGGAGACTTTCTTCACAAAACCACAAAAAAAGAAAGCCAGAAAACCAACTGCAAAGCCGTTAGGAATACACACACGAGGTTCATGTTTTTCAGACCTATTTGGCTCCATACTGGCCTGAAGTAGTCACAGAGTAACAGTTCACTATCCAGTGCATTAAGCCCCATCTTTTCCAAGACAGCCTTCAAGCTGTCAACTTTGGGCCAGCTGCTATGACTCAGTGATGATGGTGGACGCACTGTCTCTCCCAGGGGTTATAAACCATGCTGTACTCGCAAAATTTTCAGGATTTTCAATTTTCAGGAATTTTTATTGAGCATGTGCAAAATGCATTTCTTAAAGGTTTATAATTTGGCCAGACGTGAGCAGGTTTTTCTTCCACAGAACCAGCAAAAAGCACATCCTCCCACAAAAGCCATCTTACAAATCTCAATTCCTTCTCCAGACCTGGAGGAGGAAAAGCTGGGGAGGGCACTAATACTTTTCCAAGTAAAGACAGCCAGATTTTAGCATGTTTTAAAATATTTCTCAATAGTGTATTATCCCATAGCTCTGTTCAGAGAAACAGCTGAACCATATCAAGTTGAAATGATCTACAAATGTCAGTAAAAGCCAAACTACACTTCTTAGAATTTCAACCCAAAAGATTAGAGCTAGGCAAAGTTATAAAAGAACAGTCTCTGAAGAGGAAATATCAGTCAAAAATAAGAGACACTGGCAGCTTTGCCTATAAATAATAGAGATAAAAAGAAAACCCACAAGACATTTTTAACTCACAATCAAAAATTAAACAAATTGAAAGAAACAATTAGGTATTTTCTTTGCTCTCTGTATTTGACAGGATTTTACATAGTGTTAGTTTGTATTTTTGTCCTGTGATTGTTCTTTCTCTACTGTCTGTGCAGATGTATCAACACCTCAACTTTCAACAACAAACAAAGAAGCACTAGAAATTCTGAGTGTGCTTATGTCAGATGGGCTAAAGTATTGAACAGCATGCCATTTAATGCCGCAGCAGTCCATGAGAAATGGCGCCATCACTACCATTTCCAAGCCTGCCCAGACGTGGCAGTGCCTGGCCTGGACCAGGGACTTTATCTCTGGCCCCTGCAGGAAGGCTGCCTTCTCGCTAGATCTGCCCTTCATCCCAGAGGCCAGAAATTAAGTAGCACAAGACTTGCTACGGTGCCACCTCCCTACCCGAGACTTTTACTTGTACAGGAAAGATCTTCAAGATCTCCACTATGTTTAGGCCAGTAAGCCAAAAGCCTACAAATAGGCAAGGTTCAAGATCAAGTTTACCACTACAACGGCACAAACTTGGAAGCTGAAAAGGCAGCAGGTAAGCAAGTGAACAGGGAGGCAGAAGAGAGGAAAGAGATCCTGATGGTTGTTACACAGTTTTTAGACTCAGCCAAAATTCCCTTGATATACTAGAACAGAAAAATCAGCTCCTAAAAAAATAAAAATTTGGAGCAGATTACCTAAAGGGAATACTCTGTTTAGACAGAATCCATTTTCTTTTTTAAATGAGTCACTTTCAGGAAATTAAGGTTGGCAACATTCCTTCAAGACTACGCACAAAAGAGAATAAAATAATGTAATCCAAATAGTTATATATTCTAAACCAAACAACAGTAAAATATGCTTCTTAAACCTATTTTACCTGAATTCCCTTTAGAGATGAAGCACCCATGTAAAGAAAGACTCCATAAAGTACTGGCATAGGAATAAACTGCACAAACAAGCAGAGAAAGAAAAGAGCACATTAAATATCATTTAACAATATTAAATGCTTGTAGAAAGACATTCTGAACAGTTGAAATTCAAAGTGCCATATGCCCGCATTAATTAGACAAGTGTAAATTCATAGTAACTCAATTAGAAATTAATAATGTTACTCAGAGTATAAAGCAAAAGAAGAACCTGGCTCTGCAGTTTTCTCTCTCTCATGGACAGTTATTACAGTGTGCTTCATTCAATATTCATAAAATTAATAGAACCATAAGAAAAATAAAATTGATTACACACTTAAACGCTGTACTTAAAAAATTGCTCAGGAGAGTATCTGAACCACAGATCTATAATTCTCAGAAAAATATTTTAGAAACACACAAACTATTTCATATTGCTGAAGGAAATGTTCTGTGCTGTAAGCAGTTAAAAATAGCATATGACTTTTGTGGAATAATTTTGTGAGAGCATCTCTAGTTTAAATGCTCAGGCTCTCAGTATAAAGTAATAAAAAATTTATGGATAACATAAATATATGGACTATTTCCATAGATAAATATCTGCTTTAAATACAACACAAAAAATACATGTTTGTGAGGAAGGTTTTAAAGTGTTAAAAAAAATACTCCTGAGAAGTACAAGTTTTAGGGCTTATTGCTTTCTCTGTGACTACACATAAGTGCAAATTCTGATCTTATTGAAGCCTCTGACAAAATTCTCACTGATTTCACAGAAGCTAGACAATTCTTAATAGTAATAATAAGTATTATGTATATAGATAGCACTGCATATGCATATGACTAGACATCTACTTTCAGGACACCAGTGAGCAGTGCTGACCATGGAGGCAGCATGAGAGAGCTTTAGTGCTCATCTCCAAGAAATCAACTACAGAATGTCTCCTAACTGCGAAAATGTTTTTAAATTATCCAGAATTCACAGAATGTTTTTAAATTATCTAAATACATTTTACTTACTGGTATAATTTAGCAAGACTGTTTCATAAGAACTTGCCATGAGCCCAAAGTACAGAAAAAGGAGGAATCTTGGTTCACTGCAGGTCAACGGCAGAATTCCCTTTGACTTTAGTCAGGCCAGAATTTCATTATAAGATCTTTGTTTCAAAAATGTTAGCTGTCCCTAGCCATTTTATTATGCAAAATTAGAATTTCAATTTGGACTGCCATTGTACAGCATTATGCGAGTTAGTAACGCGCCTGGAAAGGGCAAGTAGTTCATTAAATAACAATAACAGTGAAATTTCTGCACAGTGCAGTATTATTTAGCTTTTCCTTATTTCCCCAGATTACCTTCAGGATACTTGTCAAAAAGACAGATGAGCCCATAAGGACAAAAATCATGAGTCCTGTGACTCTCTGCTCCCGGATTCCAAGAAATTTGGGCTGCTCCCCTGGAGCGGAGCACTCTGATTCCAGTTTTAAGCTATTCACATGGGAAATAGAGAGGACCGTGGCAGCAACAAACCATGGCAATCCCATAATAGAGCACACTCCAAGCATGACTGCCACCATGAGTAAGTCGAGATGGTATCCACATCCTTTCTGTTAAAAATATAGTGACAGCAATAAGAAATAAAATGACATCTGAATTAGGGAGAACAATCATGACAGGCATTCTAATGAACAGTTACAGGCAATTTAAAAAATCGTGTCTTGTATCAGAAAATAGCTTTCTTCTATGCGTTATCCAGGCTGGGTTAGCAATGATGACAAACTGGTTACCTAAGGGGAATTCCTGCTAGTTCAAGTGAAATTTTAGACTAACTCCAGCAACTCTGAGTAAGTGTACATATCCTGAATCCACTTTAAAATTGGGATTACAGAGTTTCCTGATAAAAAGAGGTATGAAGCAAATGAATTCAGAGATATATATGTTCTATAAGAAGTCTAAGAGATACTAAGAGTCTAAGACAATGGAAAACATACACATTTTCTGTTTTAACTAAACCTCTTCTGTGGATAAGAGTGGATGCTAGTCAGCAGAATTTCCCAAAGTGCTGCCAACTTTCCACAACACTGAATTCAATTAAAAAAAATTAATAGGACATCCAACCATCCCTATGCAGAAGGATGAACAATATTTATTTTGATTCTTTCCCATATCAAAATTCTTGAGTTAACATTTACAAAGTCATTTCATGCAATAAATGACCATAAAGCCACATCTATCCTTTTAAAGTTCTTACAGACTGTAAATGTGTGGCATCAATAACTTTCCACTAAAGCACTTTGACCTAATCCAAGAATGGGTAGCTAAAAATTAAGAGAAATTAAGTTATAATTAAGCTTCACATTGAATTAAACAAAAATTAATAATAATCAGGTACTGTGTTTTACTGGTTTACCTATTCAATAGTTAAGTAATACCATAAATGTTAATTTGAGAAGTCATTATAAAACCTCTGGTGCTGGACCACCTCTGTGTTAGTCATAGACTCTGTAAATTTACCAACACGAGGATGTTGCTTTTGTTTTGGGTAGTGGCCGATAAAACTCTTTGGTCAAACCTTAGATACACTCAAAAGACGACTGCCAGTTCAACCTGCATTTAACAATGACCAACGATCTGCATAAAGTTTGGTCATGTAAATGTTTGTTATCACAGCTGGAAGGGATTTTTCTTTTCTATTTAGTAAGTATCCAGGAACCCCACACAGCTGCAAGCAAGAGCTCAAGCTGTTTTTCCTTTAAAAAGTCAAGGTAGTGCATTATCTCCATAAAATTTTGCAATATGGCAACCAATCCAATGTCACGATCTGATGAAACAGTGATGTTCATGCAAACAATATGAATATGTTGAACCATAATTTTGCCTGTAAACCCATGCAAATGCCTTCTGACATAAAAAAAGTAACTAAACTAAACTTGGAAGGATTTGCTACAGAGAATGCCAAAAGCTGAAATGTGCACTATTCAGAATTTGCTATGGGAAGTATAAAAAAAGAGGAGGAAAACGAGTTGGAAGCAAACAAATCATTTCTTTCTGAAGACAACTTTTATTTCTAAAATGGGAAGCGTCTGGGTTTATGAAAATGTAAGCCACATATCAAAACGAAAATGCCATCTTAATTTACTTACATTATTTAAAAAGGGGAAATCATATAAAGCAAAAGAAAATGAAAAGAATCAGCTCTAGCAACATTTTCTCACTCCCCAAAAGTGCTCGAGTCTTACCTCCAAGACACTTCTCGACAAACTCAGAGATGTGCCAGACAAAGATATTAGTTACATGCACAATACACAAAGAGTTTAATTCTAAACCCTAACCGAGACACCTTTTTTTACCTCCTGACACATTTACGAGGAATGTATCTGCTAATGCATACAGAATCTGAGAGCTTTTCCTCACATGCATACATGATCTGAGGAACCTGACATATGGGAGGAAAAGGAAGCATAGCAACAGGTGATGCTACACCAGACCCCAGCAAAACTAAAGCGCAGCAAGACAAGGGGGCAGCCAGGAGGACCATCTGACTCCCAGATGCCAGTGCTGAAAAAACACATTCCAAAGCTTGGCAGCAAATTCCTGCATCTGTCAAGTTAACCACATGCAATGCTATGGATTGACATGAAGAACCAGGCTGACAAAGAGGGCAAAAAAAGAACATATCAAATGTCACAATCATCCAAGAAGAGGCAGTGCAAAGTGAAGGTTGCAAATGCATTGCTAAAGCAACTTGGGATTGGCTTGCTGCTTATTAAAAGTATGTCAAAAAAAAGCCTAAGCTTGCTGCATATACATGTAGAGAAACCTGCTGTTAGATTTTGCCCAACAGTTTTTCAGAGGGGTGATGTCCCTTTTTCTCTCTCCATCTGTAGGCATCTAAAGTGTTAGAGAACAGAGCAGGAAGTTGTCCTGTGGTGTTTTAAGAACCCATTGTGCCTCTAAAGTTCACTTTTATTCTTCTCCCTTCTTTAAGAGAGGAAGGGTAGGCAAAAAATGGATGGGAAGAACCACACAGAAAGATGGAAGGAGAAAAAACTTTGTATCACAAAATAAACCCCTGAATAGCTTTTAAAAATTCAATCCAGTAGAAAAATGCTGTCAATATCTGAAGAGATAATGAACATTATGATACTTAAGGAAATGATTAACTTCCAGATTTTCTTTAGGTGAATGCATCTAATACTTCAAATAAAAGTATAGTCTAGAATGTTTTCTTGATTCAGAATCTCTTTTCCAAATCATATGAGCAAAGATTTTCGTAAGGCAGAGAATTTCTGACACAGGGCACAAGTGTTATGTAGACCAACAGAAAAAAAAAAAAACAACAATTTAAAGGACTGCTAAATAACACACAGTAAATTAACCATCCCTGAGGAGATGAAAGTACAGTATATAATCTGAAGCAGAAAACAAAAGCGAAAATATAACTCTGACTGAATACCTTTAGTTTATGTTCCTTTCTATTTATAATGACAGCTGTAATCTGCTGGTCCATAAAGATAAGGATAGTACAAAGCAGGGCTGGAATTACAGCAGCTATCACTGTCCACCAAGGATTAGGTCCCAAAGGAGTAATAAACCAGCCACGATCATCTCTAGTGGGCTGTAAAAACAAAGACACGCACAACCACTCAGAACTCTAAGGATTACTAATATTTCAACTTCACAAGATTATACATGGAAACATTACTAGGATATGATTTGCTTTAAAACTAATAAACGAACCTTTTACATAATACCACAGAAAAATGCTAAACTTAATACAATACGAAAAAAGAGAAGGTGGATACAAGAAAACTATCCGGGATATTGCAGATTTGGTTGTATTGCAGATTTGGCTCAGAGAGAGCCTCAGAACATTACAGTAGCCTGGGATTTGGATAATTTCAGCCACTTTGCTCCCCACATAGAAGATGCAAGGAAGCATGAAGGATCCTCAATTACATGGGTCACTAACCACAGAGCTTGTATTGTATTTGGTGCGCACAAAAAAATCACAACAGCATCACTACTCCCTGATTATACAACTATGATAAATCCACCAAAGCACACTATGTCATGAAAATAATACGACAGTGCAATTTATCAATAAATTACCTTAAAAGCATTTGGAACCTGAAGCTTTGGTGATGGGATACCAATGGCGTAGTCAATTAAAACCATGGACAAAATAGTGAGAAAGACAGCAAAATCACTGACAACAGATCGCACCTGTGAGTATCAAGAGAAATGACAATTTTAACAAAAACATTCATGGCTGATTTAGGAATGGTTTCTCTTTACAGTTTCAAGGCAAAAGGAAGTTTTTTGCCTACAGCTAAAACCATGCTTACTCTGGTACAATTTTGTACCAGAGAAAAGACACAAAGGGCCCACTCCACCAGCAGTTAATTAAACTTGCAATGCAGATGCAGTTCGTGCTTGCACGTAACTAATGACCACTTCTGAATTAACCAAATGGCACAAACCTTTGTTGGAAAGTATCGACTAGTTTTGAACTGCTTCAGTGTGGATGATAGAGTTACTGTAGAAAAGAATAAGATGACGGACCAGAAGAGGACATCTGGAACATATGGGCCATGATGACCACAGGCTCGTCCAACAAACTCTCCATGAAGCTTCTTACATTCCTAACAGGGAAAGCAAAGTAGGAGTGTTCTGAAAAATGTCCATGTTTATGTTGCTATTTTCTCTCTTATTACTTTTCTAAATTACAAGCAAACTAGACTGTATTACTGAAGATAGTAAAATCAGTTTTAGATACTTAATTTTCTAAAAATTAAAACTCCTGATATTTGTAGCTGGACCATATGGAAAAGTCACAAATCCTATGATATTATGAACAACATATGAAAGTTAAAAATGAGCTTTCTTCATTTCAGAATGAAGCTCATATTACATGCACAAATATCTCTTCAAAAAGAATCCCTTTTTTAAAAATAGTATTTAATTCCTTCTAAAAGAGGAAGGAGAAGTTCCAAGATACCAAGGCAAAGGTTGCTGCTGGTGCGCTGTCAAGAGTTGATACTTTTTTTTAAGCCGGGAAGTTCAAGGAAGAGCTACTTGGTATAAATATTAGCCTAAAAATAGACTAATACATTTAATACCACATGGGGGCAGCATATTCCATAAAATTATCTTTTTCTAAGACGTGAACTGGTAAAATGCAGCAAACCTCCAAAATCTGTAACATTAATTCTATCTAAGACAATTTTGGATCAAATATGCAAAAACAATAGAATAAATCTCTAGTATTTCTCCAATACCACTCATTAGTTGTTTAAAGACATGCTTGTTACAGTGTAACAAGCAGAGAAATACAGTACAGCTATAAAACTGTTAGCTACAGTTTTTGGACCCCCCAATACTTTATTTCTCCTTCCCTGACTACCCTCCACACAATCCCATATTAAGCAAAAAAATGCTCAGCAACCAGAATCAGAGAATCCAGACAGCAGCCTCCTGCCAGAGCAGGATCTTTTGCTATCAAATAAATTGGGTCATTGACTCACCAGATTCACGTCACAAAATTATGGTTTGACTTGGTATGAGAAACTTTGGTTTTGAGCAAAGGCTGGTTTGAAAAAAAAGGAGTTGTTATTTGATGATTTTTAGACAAAAGGCTGCAAAACTTTCTACATTGGTAATAGCAGTAAATCTGGGGTAAATATGATGCAGTTTTGCCTGAAATAAAGGCATTTGTTGGGGAAAAAATAGTTTCAGGAAATCCAGAAGAACTTCTTAAGATTTTGAGACATCAAATGGAAAACCGGTCCTGATCTGAGCTAGACCTTTGATGTTCACACAGCACAGGGATGATTTTCATCATAGAAGAATAGGCATCTACATACTTACTGAAGCAGATTTTGTTAATATTAGAATAAACACTCTGATCACACTCAGTTCGTCCTAGATAGCCAAAGAAATTCTGGTCTTTCTGTGGTCTTTCAGATAAAGTGCTTAAACTGCTTGTTTTCTTTCCTGACCAATCTGGGTTTTAGGAAGTAACTTAAAACTTATAAACCAAGCATAAGAAGCAACAGGAAGAACTGAGCAACAGATAAGAGAGTGGAAGTAGGCCGACCAAATTATTACAGACAACCATGTCTAATCTTTTAGTATAGTTCTGTAGAACAGGAGATTTGAAGTTTCCTGACAATGCTTGCAAGGGGTAAATATATACAAGTATGAAGAAATTCAGATGTTTCTTTGACAACCACAGGGACTCACGGGAAAAGTTGTTCAGTTATACTGTTACTCATGTAAACTCAAGTTTTGGCAATAAGCTTTTGAGGAGAAGTTTTAAAGGGTTTTATATAATTCAGCAGGTCTTTTACATTTATAGTTAAAACAAAATCTGTTATTTTAAATTTCCTCAGCTGCAAATGTACTCTGAAAAACACTGTCAGAGATCTGAGAAAGTGAGAGGAGGAGTCTGCCCCTGCACAGATGCTCTTAGAGCGTGCTGAAATTTTGAGAATATTCATTCTAGATTGCTGGAATCCCTCAGGCCAGCAGTTCTCAACTTTTTCTGTGCTGTTGCCACACCAACAGAGTTGAGTAAGAAGTCCTTACTATCTAGACATAGCAGCCATGGATGGCAGTTCCTGCTTAACTCGTGATAGGAACCCACTCGTTCTTCTCCATTCCTGCCTTTGAAAGAAAATACAGTATCCATTGAAGATAGTCCATTGGATTGGCATTGCAAAGTTTCATTTGGTTATGCCAAGGAAGGTGTTAATTTCAATTTAGTTTTGAAAGATCTCCTGTAGTTTCGTGTCTTTTGTACCGAATTCTCTTTGGCTTCATAATGAAATGATCTATTCGTGAAAAAAAGCCGTGGCCTAGCCTCAATGTGACATTTTTATCAAGCTGTAAAAGTTGCTTTAAAGATGGAAAATCTGAAGCAGTAAATTTTTTAAATCTGGTCAAAGTAGTGTACCATTTAGAAACAAGTTACATACGCAATGTCTCCCAAACTATCCGTAAGTTGTTTCCCCCTCCCTCCCTGGAAGAAAATTTACGTAACTAAGTTATACATAACACTAAAAGCCTAATTAAGAGAGAAATTTGGTCAGTGAACAAGAATTTTACCTTTCTCCCCTTTCCTCTCCACTATAGCCTGAAAAGTTGGAGAATATTTTAGGGGAAATAACAGCTTCTAGAGTCTTTCTACACAAGGAAACTTTGGTTTTGCTATCTGGTAGAATTTGGGACAAATCCATTGTCACTTGATGCATTTAGATTTAGATTTAATCTCAAACTCTTGTGTCAGTGTGTTAAGAAGTTTTCAAAGCAGGGCAGAAAACATACATATTTGCTTTAAAATGTACTATCAAAGACTGTGTAATGTTCTAGCAAAAGGCTTACAAAAGAAGATAATGCTACAAAGTCCACATCTTTGTTCAGTGAAGTATCTCAATATTTGTTCAAATAAAGCCTTTATCAGCTAGAACAGAGTATTTTTTCAATATTATATTTGCTACAGTAGAAGTAGAACAGACAAAATTATTCATGCTCATGCCAGTATTTACTGGTCCCAATATTTCACTTACTGACACAGTTAGGTTCCCCCATGGCACATCAGATGCAGATATATTGTAGTCATGCCAGTATTGCAAGGTTTTATTGCTAGGATGTTCTGGTTCCACACAATTGCATCTGAAAAGATAAAGCAGTTTTGTGTTTTTTTTTTTACTTACTAATAAAAGATGTATTAGATAAAAATCCAAATTATTTATCAATGCTATGAGATATTAAAATTGTACTCTACTTTGCCATATAATTTTAATTTAAATTAATTCAGTAAATGCATGCTTTGAAGCAGTTTGTAGTTCTCTAGCTAGTGCTATTACTAGAGCACAATTTGCCGTGAAGTGTGTATAGTACGTAATGTGACATATATAACCACTCTTCACAATAAGTTTTTCCTCCCATTTTGTTCTATTCTACTGATACCTCTAGGTTTCACTAAGAGCACAGTTCATAATACTGAGACTGTGCCACTGCTGTTCCACTCCCTGGTAGCTAAACTTTCTGCCATGGAGATTAGATACTATGCATGGCTGTAGGCCAATACGTATCTCAAGTACAAACTGTATTCTGTCCCTTCCCCTTTCCTAGAATGTCTTTGAACAAAAAACTGCCTAATTACCCAGCCAAATATCAGGGCTCTGCAAGATTACCAGTGCTTAAAAGTCTGTGTCCACTGTTTTTCCTTTCCTCACAACTGTTTTAAAAATATACTTCTCATTTTAAATTGTGCATTTAAACATATAAAAGGTTAAGAGGTAGTGTGGGAGGATAACACTTCAAGGGCAAGTTAAAATCAAAATTAAGTCTTTAAAACCTCTGAAGCAATTGTGGGAGGCTTTTTTCTTTGATAAGGCCTTCAAAATATGCAGGATGCTCTGTACGTTCCAAGATGCCAAGTTTACTTTGCAATCCTCTCTGAATTTATCCTGCTTTAAAAATCTGTGGTACTATCTATCCTGCTAGCATTTTAACTAGCTTATGATGGCTGCAAAATAACACAGTTCTCCCATTTTTGATAAAGTTTTCAGGAGCGGCTAGGGACAGGATAACTTCTGCCCAGAGAGCTGAGAGTCCTTAGGCATACATTCGCATTCCAACTCTAGAATATCACTTTATTCACTTAGCTAAGCCACTTTTCTCTGTGGCTGTTTATCTGCCCACAAAATGAAGATGACAATTCTTATTTAGGTTTGTAATATTTTTCATATATGAAATTCTGCCATCTATATTATGAGTACAGGATAGTGCTATCATATTTCCATTACAATACTATACATGTGACACCACAGCTGCATTTAATACACATAGAGAGATGCAAGTTGTCTTTGTGCAACTCCTTGGTTTTATTTTAAATGCAGCTATTTATAAAAGAAAGAAAAAAACCCTTACAACCCATGAACAAGAAAAACAAACAAACAAAAAACCAAAACAAAAAAAGCAATAGCATTCAGAGGAATAGAGGGCCTGAGCCAAAAGACACTGAAGTCAACTGCATCTTTCAAGCAGACTTAACATGCTCTGGATCAGGCCTCAAGTGCAGAATGAGTGCGTGTTCAAAGTGTAGTTCAAAATATTACAAAATAGGTTAAATGAAACACATCTCTAATAGTGAGTTAATGTAGCATAATAAAGTCAATACACAGTATATCTATGCTATTGCAAGAGGATATTTGACGTTCATGCAACAATACAGATGTGGCTATTTCAGGTTACTATTGTTTCCTGTGAACACAGAAACTCCCTGCCCCCTTTTGTCCATCGCCGATCGCAGACTGGCCAGACGCTGGGCGACGGCCCATTGGGATTTGATTACAGTAGGCCAAGGTGACGTGGGCTGTTCAATCACAGTCACTTTCTCACTAGAAGGGAAGACTGTGCATGTCACCAACACTATATTATATAGCTACACTTGCTGCAAATTGCAATGTTACATTCAAATGTTAGAGAAGCTAAAATCTTCTCGTTCCTTACAGTCAGAAACATGGCAATTGAAGCTATGATTTAACATAGCTCAAGTAATTCACCTTTAATAAGATCTATCACACTGTTTATTCCTCTGTCAATACTGCTTTCCTCCTTTGCAAGGAATCAGCAGTCTAGTCCAGCCTTTACGAAGTTTCATATGCATTTACTGAGGGCAGATCATTCACCAGCAAATCACATGTGCAAACTCAGCCCATAAAGACCAAATCTTCACCCTGCACCATCAGGGCTTATGTAACTGAATGGGAGCAAAATTAGGCTCTAACTGTAAAGATCAAATCCTGTCTTTTACTAGAGGGGTAAAATTAAAATCAAAGTAGACTGTTCACTGTGTAAAAAATGAGCATGTTGTGACTATCTCAATTTGTTTAATACCACAGGGACAGAATAATTATGAAAACTGTCTTGATGCTGAAGAAGCAGTAAAGGACACAGTAAGATATTTCAGTATTGCCTCTTCAAACAATAAGCACAGTGTTTTGATATACATAATGTTATATTATATTGTGTTCAATATAATATGTCCCTTGGCAACAATGACATTTTATCATGATATAAATCTCTTCCAGCAGCATGCTAATTGCCTAGCACTATAGAAAAGAAGGATAGTAAGACAATCCCTGTCCAGCCTAGAAAACACAACTGGAGGTGCGGTTCCAGAACATAAATTATTAGGATTAACTATGATAAGGTGACATTTCATAGACGCAACTGTAGATGAAATTGCTACAATATTGTCTATTTCCCAAACACAACTGACCTGTAAGGACAAACTTGCATTAGCAAAATAAGTTTTCTACTTTAATCTTTCTAAATTGTTAGTCTCTTCCGTTGCCATGTTTTATTCTAATGGCGAGGTCAGGACAAGAAGTAAAATACAGTGAATTGCAAATAACTAAAATACATTTTTATTTTCTTGATAAAACTCGTATGGCTAGAGTAAGCAAAAATTTACTGTCTCTTCAAGGTTCAAATGTTCTCAAGTTCATAGGCTTGTAAAGTTGTTTAAAGTGCTGAGCACCTGCCAAACAAGAAATCTATTTGGAGTTTATGCTCCCTTCACAGCAAACAGCAAGAGACTAAATGCAGAGCTATAATTATGTTCTCATATTCAGCTCCAAATACAGTAAGAACCGAGCAACATTCTCCCATGCCTTTCAGTGATAAGGAGTCAATCATCATTGTTATGCTAAAAGACACAGAATGATTCATTATTTTAATTCTCCTTCAGCTTTAATCATGGCTAAAACAAAGGCAAGAAAGAGCGCGGCCTGGTCATTGGGGAAAATATAGGTGTTAAAGTAAAAAATAAACCAAAATCTCTGCTGCCAATCTCACGTTATACATGTTTCATCAGAACGATGACAGAACAATTCTTTTTTGCATTTTTTCACTTCTGGCCATTGCCAGATGTTCTGAACTTCTAGGAACAATTAGGGCGTCTAAACATGGGTGTCTAGTGCCATTTTAGATACCCCCTGGTATCTAAGACACCCATGCTGAGTTGGTACACATGCAAGAGGGTTTACAGGAGACTGATGCCTCTGTGAAATAGCAGCTGTAGGCTATGATACCTAAAATATCAGGTGTAGGTCATTCCCTTCTATATCTAAAATGTCCTTATTTTGCAACAAGGCAGAGGTTGGTGGAGCTTGCAGTGAAGAAGCTTTCTTTTAGGGTGCTCAAACATCCAATACAGCCTACCACAAAGTGACTTATAAAACTGGCTGACTAAGCCAGTTCAGACAAGACAATCTCCAACAGAAGCACGAGGATTTTCTTAAGATCAGAACTGACAAAAGGAGAAAGTTACAGGAAAATAATGGCCCTAAGCTTCTAGCTACAGAAATAACCAAAATAAGGAGTCATTATGGCCTTTACACCTTCTAAGGTGTTCAAGAAATCATTGGCAGATCAGGATGGGAAACAAGTAGATGAGAAAGAACGAGTTTTACAACTGGTTGATGCACTGCTGTCCTCATAAGCCTGAACCTTTCCCCTTCAAAAGGGTAGGAATACTTCAGTTAAATCTTCAACATCAATCAGACTGTTACAGGACTGGAGGTCCTGATGCCACCCTCTTCCTTTCTGAGTCCTCCTAGCCTCCTCACACTTTCTTAGTTCTTCTTGCTTTTGTTTCATAAGTCTAAGTTTCACAAGTTTCATAACCTGAGGTAGCCGTTGTAACTTCACTGTGTGCAAGATTTCCTACACATCTCATCCTGTTTTCAAAGTACAAGCTAGGATTTGACAACAGCAGCTTCAGGACATCTCAGATAACAAGCAGTGTTGTTCTCTGCTCCCCAAAGGGATAGTTAGCACCAAAAAGATTGCCTATACTATCCCTCTTCCTTTGGACACAGTGAAAGTGAATAAAGGCTGAGAAAATACAAATCTAGTATTTTATATACAAAATAATTTGAGTTTTTTCCTCTTTTGTAGATCAGCAATGAAATGTAAAATATTTCTAAACATGGCTGTTGCCCAGCAACTAGTCTGGTGAAAGGTTCTGTACTCAAAATACTCAATCCTGACTGTACCTTCCTGTTTTACAGCAAAACAAGAAACTTAATAACTTATCGAAGGTCCTGCAGGGGAATCCCTCTCATTCCGATCTCTTACACACGATTCTTCAGGCTTGTTCTTCCCCATACGTTTATGACCTTTCTTGACCTCTCATGCACTCTCTCCTCCCTGCGCAGACTTCAAAAAATGAGTGTGGCATTAACAGCAAATGCTAGTCAAGTCTGCTGCCATTACCGCTAACTTAAGAGCTTGGAACAAGAATCCGGCCCAGTATTTTTGTGAGTAAAATACACCTAAATGGTGTAGTTCCTTTGGAAGCCTCAGGGCCACTCAGCCATAAGCAGTTGCCATTTTACAGCTCAGTGTGTTCAAATCATGAGGCACCTGTCTGGAGCTCCTATTTTTCCAGCAGGTGCATTCTGTTTATCCTACCCAAAGATCTGACCTATAAAAGGCACAACTGTAGTTTCTTCATGATTAGCCAACATAACATTTCCTCTCCCTAGAACAGCAAAATCTCTTTTCAGTACATTTAAGTTAGAGAATGAGATTTGTTCAATACGAATATTTATATTATTAAAAAACAGGCAAGGATGATGAATAAGTTGCAAAATGTG